TCAACACAAGGTAAAATGATCACAACACTTCACTACTATTTCCCTCACCTCTCCTTCTTTTCTACTATAATTCCTAAGATTCTAACGTAGGAACTTTTTATTTATTCATGTGTAAGTCCCCCACCCCATCCATTGGCTGAGTCCTCGAGCTAACCAATGTGTATTATATCACCCGGGAAAACATGGAATGATTGACTACCTTATAGTACTCAATCTCTACTATAGACTACCTTATAGTACTCAATCTATATGTACCACCTTATAGGCTATGTATACTACCACCTGGAGTACTGTTGTCACTTGTTGTCACCTGTAGTCACCTGTTGTCACCTGTTGCCACCTGTTGCCACCTGTAGTCACCTGTAATCACCTGTTATCACCTGTAATCAGAGTGTGGTGTTAGGACGCTTCTCTTCCTCAATTCACTACAGGGGGGGACCTATCAAACACTGGTAAGATAAGCTTCCAGTACAGGTATTCACAGGGATAACTTATCACTTTATCTATGGCTACATCTATAGGAAGTCTTTAAAGATAATAAATATACTTCTTTAGTTTGTAGCAAGATGGTGGCGAACCTTTTGTGAATCTTTTTAACCAACAGAAGTTTATTTTCAATTCTATTTTGTTTTTGTCTAGTTAAGTCTTGTGGCTGGAATCCGTTCATTGTTTTTTTATGATATTACATTCTCTCAAGCCTTAACAAGATGGCTCCTGTAAACACGATGAACATGCTTACAATTATTTTATTTTTAATTATTATCGTGAAGAATAAACTGGATTCAATTTTCTGTTATGTTTTTTCCCATTACTATAAAGCTTTTAAGGGTAAACTAAAACTCACTACGTCATTAGTTGTTTATAATATAAGTTTGGTTTTATATTCCCTGGTTTCTTGATTAATAAAACATATTATATCTATTGAAATGAAGGTGGAAACTCAACTACTGAATAGTCCACTTAACGATACATCAAATTCATTATATTTTCTGATACATCTCATTGTTACTTTATAAAGGCTCCATCAACGTATTATTATTTTTATACTGCCTGTCTGTTCTCTCGCTTGATGAAAATGAGTTATGATATAAATTTCTTTTAGTAAACATTCTTTTGTATTGTTTCATATCGTATAATTAACAGAAGACTTGTAATAGTAGTTTTTAAAAGTTTTCTTAGTTTTTTTGAAGTTTATAGTAAATTGCGATATTGTTCTAACATTTTCTGCCGCTGTTCTTTGTTTATATATGTATATATATATATTATATATTTTGTAAACAGTTGTGTAGGAGCCTTTATGAAGTCTTCTTACTCTAGTAGAAATGTATTTGTGTTTATGCCACTTTTTCTGTAAGTGTTTGATTATATTACAAGGGAGAGAGAGAGAGAGAGAGAGAGAGAGAGAGAGTAAATTAATGCACCTCTTAACTATATGTTAATCTCCTCTTTACCTTCGGTATCATCTTATTGCTCTTGCCATTAACCTCTTCACTACAGGGACAACATTTTTAATATTTGGTTAACGCCAGAGGATTTTAATCAGCTTAAAGGGAGAGTCTGTACAGGTGGGGTTAAGAGACTTTATCCACTAATGGCGTTTATCTTCCTTGTATAAGTTTTGTTTTGTAATATATTTTTTTCTTATAATTATTAGCTTGAGAAAATAATTCATTGTCTATGGTTAGGTTAGGTTAGGTTAGGTTAGGTTAGGTTAGGTTAGGTTAGGTTAGGTGAGGTTAGGTTAATGTTAGGTTAGGTTAGGTTAGGTTAGGTTAGGTCTCATATATTTATTTTATCTGAATCTTTTGGTATATATTTTTTTTTTTATTTTGGGTTTAGTTATATAATGCATCCGATATTTTTTGTTAGTTTCTGTGAGAGAAAGGAAGGAAGCTATCTCTAATATCTTGTCTTAAATGTGCAATTAACTTTAAATCTGTTTCTGGGATTCAAAAGTTTACTTACATTAAATCACTTCTATGGCTAAACTTTTAACCAGAAGTAAAAGTTTTAAAAAGTTCTAAATTGAAATAGTTTTTTTTATTTAAGTTTTATCCTGAAATATACTATAATGCTCAACTTTCCCCCGCTATTAGTAATCATTGCCAACAGTATAATGGTTCAGTACCTATGCATCTTGAAATGTGAGTCCAGTCTTGCAGAAAATAAGATCAATTTAATCTTTATTCAATTAGGCTAGTCCCACCTTCTCAATATCTTCTTCAGCATTACTGGTAAATCCTCTTGAGGGTCTGACACACAAACGTTCATACAGGTACGTTTCTAGGTGTGTGTCGATAACGTTATTGTTTTTTTTTAATTAGTCTACAGGTAAGTGACTCGTATCTGGCCTTGGAATCTCATTAACATAATCCTTATTTATGAACAACATTAGTGAAGGGTCGCTGTAACGTGTCCACTTGGCTGTTTGCTACGTAAGGGTGCAACGTTTGTTACAAGGAGGACTGCAACTTCTGGGAATGTTTGGCTCTGAAGGACAGTCCCAAAAATAGAGGAAGGAATGGGGGGGGGGGTGAGGGTAGAGGAGGGGGGTGAGGGTGACAGTACTCTGGATAAAATGCTCTGTTGTGGAGGGGTCATGTGAGAGGTGGAAAAGAAAATAGGATTAAACATGAATGTGAGATGACCTGAGAGCAGTAGTGTATATACCCTGTTCCATCAGAAAACTCTATCATATATCAAAGGCAGCGCTGTGTGGCTCGTCCATATCGGAGTACGAGAAGGAGAGGTCGGTAGAGTGGTGGGGGAGTAGGAGTGGAGTTTGTGGTGGTGTGTTGTGGAGTATAACCTTAAGAGCTGAGGCTAAGTGAGAGACTTCATATGGGCTATAAAGTACTTACCAGGAAGAAGAGGGATAGGGAAGGGAGAGGATGGGGAGAAAGGAGAAGAAAGGGAAGGAGGGGTAGACGCCAACTAACATGTGTGTGTGTGTGATGGAGAGAGAGAGTGTGTGTGTGTGTGTGTGTGTGTGTGTGTGTGTGTGTGTGTGTGTGTGTGTGTGTGTGTGTGTGTGTGTGTGTGTGTGTGTGTGTGTGTGTGTGTGTAGGTCCCCAAGGAGAGTTTGAAGGGGAGGGAGTCTCTAATCTAGCGACTCTTCCTTGTGTGAGATTTATGACAAGGGCGGATCTCTACCATCCGTCACAAGAGGTTAAAGGGATATGGGGCAGACGACTCCTCTACACGTTACCTCTGATTGATACGGTTCTTTTTTCCTTGACTTTCCAATTCCTGTGAGATATGTGAAGGATATGGCTGGAAGGACTCACCTTCCTCTCTCTCTCTCTATGTCTACGAGTCTTTCTCCTTTCCTTAAGCTTCCCTGGTTCACATCCGATGCTCCCCTAGTCAACCCATCTGTGAAAGTGGTCGAGTAGAAGAAGGATCAGTGTTCAATATATCGCCAATCTCGCTCATTTTAACTTTCAATGAAGGAGAATATGGCAAAGGAATCCTCCCATCCCCCATCCCCTCCCTCCCCGACGCTGTACAAATGGTGTGGTGTTATAGAGGCATAATCCTTAATCTACTGCTGCGGAGTGAGAGGCACCTACTGTAGGAGGGACGACAGAAGCTTGACTACAGGGTTCCTCCTTCTACCAAGTGACTTTAGGTACATGGAGATGAATGTTAAACCTCCCTGACAGGAAACCTCCTTCCTCCTAGACTAGTGGTTCTGACTGACAGGTGTGGTGTCTGACATATACTGACAGGTGTGTGGTGTACCTAGTATATAATGACGGGTGTGTGGTATATATATACTGGCAGGGAGGGTGGTGTATATACTGACAGGTTATTATTGGTGTACCTGGTATATATACTGACAGGTGTGTGATGTACCTGGTATATACTGACAGGTGTGTGGTGTATATACTGGCAGGAGGGTGGTGTATATACTGACAGGTATGTAGCGTACCTGGTATATACTGACAGGTGTGTGGTGTACCTAGTAAGCTATATACTAGCCACTAAGACAAAGTTCACGTACCTAACAGCAACAGGGGGGGGGGGGGTTAAAACAAATCCAATTAACAACCATTGTCACTAATAACCTCCAGATTGCAAAGAAAGTTAAATTTAGTTCAAGTTTTTATCGCTTTAGGAATACTATTTTTTTGTAGGATTTGTTTTGTTTTAGAAGTTCGTAAGGGAGATGGAGGTGGTTTGGGTCGAGTGGGGTTAATAATAATAATAAACCTAACCTAACCTAACCTAACCTAACCTAACCTAACCTTTTACCCCTCAACATGACAGAGAACAGGTAAAGGAGATATCACTCTTCAGGTATAAACATTAAAAAAAAAAAACTATATGTTAAGAAAGACATTATTATATACTTGATCTAGAACAGTATTTTTATTTTCATATTATTGTTATTTATTTTTTATTAATTTTTTATTATTATTTTATTTTATAATTTTTTATATTATTTTTATTTTTATTATTATTATTTTTTTCATAATTATTTTTTCCCTTGGCTTAAGTGAGGGAGTATCGGTGAGTAAAGATGACAAGTGACATTTTTCCCATTTTTTCCCATTTATTCTGATATATATTTTTATATGTAGGAAAAAACAAACTAGGGGTAACTCTTGGGAATGAGCATTGTATACAGGAAATTGAAATCCGGTTAACAACAAAGGGATATATTTGACCAGAGTGCTTTAGTAAATGGATTATTATATCATGTTATTGTTTTGTAAAGTTATAATTTATAAGTAGATTTTACGTGTTTTATACAGGGTTTAAAATATTGATGCTGAGTTGTTGTTATAGAGTACAATATAAAGTGTTAGAGTACCAATAAGAGTACAGTTTTAAAGTGTCAATATAGAGTACAATTTAAAGTATAAAGAATTAATCCCAACCACAAAAAAAACAAATATTGATAAATCACCTTTAATTCACCTTACCTGTCCAGCAATGATATAATTAACCTACAATCAGCATTAATTACCTGGCTCCTTTTTACCCCCCAACAGACCCACCTGTAGCCACGATGGAGCTGGGTCGAGGCGTGTTGTCAGTGGTGAAGGAGGGAGAGGATGTTTACTTCAATTGTAACGTGGATTCCAACCCTCCTACCTACAAGATCTCGTGGTATCGTGACGTAAGTGTTTGTCTTTTGTTTTTCTCTTATTGGTGTTGCAGGGATGGTGTTGCAGGGATGGTGTTGCAGGGATGGTGTTGCAGGGATGGTGTTGTATTGATGTTTCGTAGTTTATTTATATTTTTTTGTGAGTTTGTGATTTTTTCAGGGGGTTAATTTTGTTTTTATTTAATATTAGAAAATCGTTGATGTGTGATTGATTTGTTTTATTTATAGTAATTGTAAGTGGATTGATAGTGTATGGTGGTATGTCTGTCTGTGTCTTATTTATTGTTGATTCATGGCTTCTTGGATACTTGGGAATGTGTTTTATTCTGTTGTTGAGTAGCCGTATGTCTTGTGTGTTAGTGTGTGTTTCCTTGTTAAGTTAGACACAGTGTTTTGTGCTCTGTCTGTGTTGTTGGTTCATTAGATGTGTTACGTCAGGGACCGAAGCTCTTAGTCGTGGTCGTTATGTTAATTTTTTGTTTTTATGTTCACTTAGTTAATAGACTGAACTCTGTATTATTTCAGCAGGAAGGGACCACCGAACAGTGTATTCTCCAGCTCAGTAACTCGTCTCTGTTCATGTTAATATCCGTCTGATTTAAGTGTTGTTTTGTGTCAACTCGCCCAGGCGTCGGAGGCACACAGGCCATGGCCTACTTGCCGCTTCATAAGTAATTCATGAGTCATTTTTTCTCGTGCTCTCGCTGGATTTGCATTCTATGCATTTAAACAAACGTTTTAGTGAAAACCTGAAGAAAAAAGAGAATTATTAATGGCATAAGCTAAATTACATGTTTACCAGGTATAAATGGATCATGTGATTTTATCAAGATATATATATATATATATATATATATATATATATATATATATTTCATGTAAATCCACAATGAAAACTTGGATAAGATAAATCTTGATAAAATCACACGGGAAAATGGAAACAACGGAGTACCTTAGCTTTCGTCTTTATTCAAGACATCTTCAGAGGCAACTGGATTACATGGACAGAGAGAGGCTTAAATATACAGGGTGACCTAAAAACATGAGGTCAGGTCATAATGATGACATCCACTAATCCCCACACCAACACACACGTAGAGGAGCTTAAGAGAAGGGTGGTGACGTGACTAGCCAGGTCAGGTGAGAAAAAAGGGACCCACAAAATAACTGTCATACATCAAGATCAAAGGTTTTCAAAGCATTTTTAACCTTGGGCCACTGACAAATAAATTTATGTAACATATTATCAGTTTTGAACTGACCATCACTAAGGTTTATTGATTTTAATTCCTTAATCAAACTAGCTTCAACCAGAAGTCTTTCTGTGACACAAGATGATTTGAATACTTCTAAGCTTTTTTCCCAAGCAACGGGGTGATTATTATTCCTAACATGAACGAACAAGGCACTGCTTTCAGATGCAGTTCTGATATTATACTTATGTTGTTTGATTCTGAGCTGCAGTGTTTTTCCTGTCTGACCTACATAATTACAATTACATTTGCTACATGGAATACAATAAACACTTCCATTTACATTCAAACTTGGGCTATTCCTTATTAACATATTGGTAATGGTTGAGTCATACTTGAAAACAACATTAATATTTAGAAGCTTGAGGACTGTGAACTAAAGGGACAAATTCATCACGATAGGGCAGAGTCAAATTTATTTGTCAGTGGCCCAAGGTTAAAACTGCTTTGAAAACCTTTGATCTTGATGTATGACAGTTATTTTGTGGGTCCCTTTTTTCTGACCTGACCTGTCTAGTCACGTCACCCCCCTTCTCTTAAGCTCCTCTACGGTTGTGTTGGTGTGGGGATTAGTGGATGTCATCATTATGACCTGACCTCATGTTTTTAGGTCACCCTGTATATTTAAGCCTCTCTCTGTCCATTTAATCTAGTTGCCTCTGAAGATGTCTTGAATAAAGACGAAAGCTAAGGTACTCCGTTGTTTCCATTTTCCCGTGTGATTTTATCAAGATTTATCTTATCCACGTTTTCATTGTGGATTTACATGAAATATGGAACTTACACGTCTCTCTTACGCTGTGTCCTTAATCTGTCAACAACATCCTCATCTTCGCCCCATCTACCGCAACTACAAGAAGAGTTTGCTGAAGGCTCATAGTCTCAAAAACAAGTTGAAGTTTTTGAAAGATTGCAGAGATGATAAAATTGTTCCCAAGTCCTGTCTTCCAAGTAGACTAAGAAATCTGGACAATCAAGCATCCTCTGAGTTGGATAAGGTGTTGCTAGATTCCCTTATCAAGAGTTCAAGTGATAGTGTGAAATTAGCCTTCAAGCACAGTGCTCAGTGTAAAATACTTATGCAAAACAGTATTTGTGTTGATAAGTGGCACACCATTCGTGATTTTGTATATCAACTTCTTAGTGAAACTGACAAAGCCCAAAAAAGAAGGTTAAATGCCAAATTAAATGCTCTGTTTGACGAGAGTTACTGGACCATATTGAGTGATCCAAATTTGTTCATAAACTTATCATCTTATGATCTACAGACAAATGAGAAACTTGTTCTTGGTTTTGGTAGGAAGTTTTCTATCACTCAACGGTGCGTTAATCCGCTTACTATTGCTAAAGGTTTAATCAACCTGGAAAAGATGAAGTCGTCTGATGTTACAAATGAAGATATTTCCATAGCTAAAGGTTGTATACATAGTGTTTTAAATAAGAAATTTTCTTCAAACATTCCAAAAAGATTTGAAACAGCCTTGATAAACTTGAAAAGAAATAAGAATATCCATATTACCAAGGCTGATAAGTCTAATGCTATTGTTATCTTGGATAAAAGTGACTACAATGATAAGATGAATTCATTACTTAGTGATGAAAGCACGTATTGTGAGCTTACGAAAGATCCCCTGGAAAATATTAATAAGTTATCTAATTCCAAAATGAAGATGTTATTGAAAAAGAACCCCGATCTCACTAAACAGCTCTCTCAAATCAATCCCACTTTACCTTATATGTATGGATTGATCAAAACACACAAGCTTAATAATCCATTACGTCCTATCGTGAGTTCTGTGGGTTCTGTTACTTACAAATTATCCAAGTGGCTGGTAAAGATGATATCCCCTCTTACAGGCCAAATATCTAATTCACATATACGCAATAGCAGTGATTTAATTGATAAACTCAAGAAACACAACGAACCTTGCGAATTAATAAGTTTTGATGTAAATTCACTGTTCACTAGAGTACCTGTGAAAGACTTACTTTCATTTCTTAAAGATAAATTACAACTGCTAGATTTAACTATTGAACACGATACTTTCCTGAAATTGATAGAGTTATGCGTAACTGACAATGTGTTTAGTGCAAATGGGAAGTTCTACAAGCAAGTATTTGGCATGAGCATGGGTAATTGTCTTTCTGCTCCTCTAGCCTGTATTTATATGGAGTTCTTTGAGTCTAGATTACTTCCCAATGTAGTGGACTGTATTCCTCCTTGGTATAGATATGTAGATGATGTTCTTTGTCTTTGGCCTAAAAACAGTGACCCTTTGGAATTTTTAGACAAGCTTAATAATATTGTCCCTAGTATCACATTCAAAATTGAAAGAGAAATAAGTGAATCCCTTCCATTTCTTGATATGCTTATCATGAGAAATGGCCAAAACTATAAATTTAAGGTATATAGAAAGCCCACACAGGTAGACAGTTTCATTCACTTTTTATCCAATCACCTTGAGTCTACCAAAATGTCAGTTTTTTCTGCTATGTTCCTACGATGTCTGCGTATTTGTGACTCTGAATTTATTGACGACGAATTTAAACACATTCGTTCTATTGCACAGAAACTTGGGTACCCTTCTGTGTTTGTTGATCGTTGCTTTAAAAGGGCTAAAAAATCCTTTCATTCCTCTGTAACCAGACAAGTTCCTACACTTAAGAATATTTTGACTCTGCCCTATCGTGATGAATTTGTCCCTTTAGTTCGGTCCCTCAAGCTTCTAAATATTAATGTTGTTTTCAAGTATGACTCAACCATTACCAATATGTTAATAAGGAATAGCCCAAGTTTGAATGTAAATGGAAGTGTTTATTGTATTCCATGTAGCCAATGTAATTGTAATTATGTAGGTCAGACAGGAAAAACACTGCAGCTCAGAATCAAACAACATAAGTATAATATCAGAACTGCATCTGAAAGCAGTGCCTTGTTCGTTCATGTTAGGAATAATAATCACCCCATTGCTTGGGAAAAAAGCTTAGAAGTATTCAAATCATCTTGTGTCACAGAAAGACTTCTGGTTGAAGCTAGTTTGATTAAGGAATTAAAATCAATAAACCTTAGTGATGGTCAGTTCAAAACTGATAATATGTTACATAAATTTATTTGTCAGTGGCCCAAGGTTAAAACTGCTTTGAAAACCTTTGATCTTGATGTATGACAGTTATTTTGTGGGTCCCTTTTTTCTGACCTGACCTGTCTAGTCACGTCACCACCCTTCTCTTAAGCTCCTCTACGGTTGTGTTGGTGTGGGGATTAGTGGATGTCATCATTATGACCTGACCTCATGTTTTTAGGTCACCCTGTATATTTAAGCCTCTCTCTGTCCATGTAATCTAGTTGCCTCTGAAGATGTCTTGAATAAAGACGAAAGCTAAGGTACTCCGTTGTTTCCATTTTCCCGTGTGATTTTATCAAGATATATATATATATATATATATATATATATATATATATATATATATATATATATATATATATATATATATATATATATATATATATATATATATATAATATAATAATAATAATAATAATAATAATAACAACAACGTTATACCCCGTTTGTAAAATTGCTCACTTTATAAACTGGAAGTCATTTAATCATTTAGTCCAGTTTGTGAAATTGCTTCCTAACCTGACCTTGCTTCTGCCGTGTGTGTGTGTGTGTGTGAACACAGGATCATATAAGCGGGCGGGAACATTGTGATTAAATTGGACAGAGTGGCAGAATGTTCACGGGATATAAATGA